GGCAATTGTGCTTGTGGTGATGATGCGGATGATGAGGATGTGATCATGATGAGGTTGATGGTGATGATGCTGCTGATGATGATGGTGCTGCTGCTGGTGATGACGACGACGATGACGATGATGCTGATGCTGATGATGATGATGATGATGCTGATAATGAAGATGAAGATGACGATGAGGATGAGGATGCTGTTGCTGCTTCTGCTGCTTCTGCTGCCGCTGCTGCTTATGACGATGGCGGTTTTGATGATGACGACGGTGGTGATGGTAATTACGGTGAGGGTAATGCTGATGCCGATGACGATGATGATGCTGCTGCGTCTGTTGCTGCTGCAGATGAGGATGCTGACGGCAATGATGTTGATGATTACAATGATGATGATGATGATGATGATGATGATGATAGTGATTATGATGATCCCGACCATAACGACGACGATCACGATGTCGATGGCGAGATGATACTGATAATGACGACGATGGTGATGGCGAGGATAATGATGATGATTATTAGCATGACGATGATGGTGACTATGATGATGGTTGTGGTGGTAATGGTGATGATGATAATGATGGGGCTGATGATGATGATGATGATGATGATGATGATGATGATGATGATGATGATGATGATGATGGTCATGATGATGCTGATGATGATGCTCATGCTGCTGCTGCTTCTGCTGCAGCTGCTGCTGATGGCGATGACGATTTTGATGATGATGATGATGACGATGCTGATTATGCTGATGATGATGGTAATGCTGCTTCTGCTTCTGCTGCTGATGCTGATGATGATGTTGACCACGATGATGATGTTGATGATTGTACTGAGGAAGATGATCATGATGACGATCACGAATGTAAGAGGAGGATGAGGGAGCAGGAAGGATCAGAGGTAGGGGAAGGAGGAGGAGGAGGACAACGATGAAGAGGAGCAGGGGAGGAATGCGGGGCTGGAAGACCAGGCGGAGGTGGAGGAGGACGAGGATGAAAACGGTGATCAGAATGGTGATGACGAGCACCACTGTGAGAGGAGGGCGGGGGAGAGAGCAGAGGCAGGAGGAGGAGCAGGAGGAGGGGGAGGAGGACGGGGCCGGGAACGCGTGGGATCAAGCGGAGGAGGAGCGAGGAGCAGGAGGCTCCGTCGGAGGCGCCGTTTGCGGGAAGGATGCTCTGTTAGAGGCGCCCAGGGCGCTCCAGAGCGCTGCGGGCTGGTCCTCCTCCTCCTCCTCCTCCTCGTCCTCCTCTTCGTCCTCCTCCTCCTCGGCCTCCTCCTCCTCGTCCCTCCTCCTCGTTCTCCTCCTCGCCTCTCCTCGTCCTCGTCGTCGTGGTCCTCCTCCTTCTCCTCCTCGTCCTCCTCGTTCTTCATACTCGTTCTCCTCCTCGCCTCTCCTCGTCCTCGTCGTCGTGGTCCTCCCCCACCTTCTTGTCGTCACTCCTCGTCATCCTCCTCCCTCATCCCTCCCCATCCTTCTCCCTGCTCCACCCTCCCTCATCCTCCTCCCTCCTCCCTCCCCTCTCCTACTCCCATCTCCCTCCTCTCCCAGGCGATCTCCCCCCAGGATCCTCGAGCGGCCGCTCGGAAGAGCGGGGAACCCTGAACCTCGGGGGTGCAGAGCTGTTAGCGCGCGCCCCTGACCGAGAGCGGGCGCCCCCCATCGCACACCAACGAATCGGGCTCCAAACTGCTTGCCCAGTCGACTGCCCGAGTGTCCCGATGGTTCGAGATCTGAGATCGCCGCACCCCTGAGGGTCCGTACATGGACATTACATTCGAACCCTGTGGCCCAAGATGCCCCCCAGACCCCCCGAAATTAATATTGATGGCGTGGCGACGGGGGGGGCGTGCGTGGACAGAAATATTCGAACCCCAAAGCACCGCCTTTACTGAGATCAACATTGATGTCGGGGGCGCGGGGGTGATTTAGAATCCCCCTCGAATGTGTAAGGGTTCGAATATATTGTCCATCTACTGGAGGGGGAGAGTCGGACGGGGCTAGGTCGAGGATGAATCCGTCCCAGAGCGTTCCGGAACGCTCTCAGAGCTGTCTGGCACGCTCTGAGAAGGCCGCGGCGCTCGAGACCTCTCCCAGAGTCGCTGGATCTCAGAGATCTTCGGTCTATCCTCACCTAAATTAATCCTCGTCCTGCCTTCTGGTCGAGGAATTATCGGGGAATATTCAAAAATGTAGTCAACAAATGGTTTGGGACGATTTTTGGAGCATGTTTTGACAATTTTGGGGCATCTTTGGGGTATTTACCTAACAGCGAAGACTGATAGGTTTCTAATGGGCTAAAAAGAGAGCAGCAGATGACTCCACAGGGGGGTCTGGGCGGGTGCCGGACAGGGTGCCGCAGAAGTCGTTTTAAGCCAACAGTCACACACTTCGTGCTCTTCGACCTCCCAGAACTCCATTCCCGGGCCACATTCTGAATGCCCGGAGCCAACTGTAGGCCACTTCGTGCTCTTCGACTTCCCAGAACTCCATTCCCGGGCCACATTTTGAATGCCCGGAGCCAACTGTAGGCCACTTCGTGCTCTTCGAGTTCCCAGAACTCCATTCCCGGGCCACATTTTGAATGCCCGGAGCCAACTGTAGGCCACTTCGTGCTCTTCGAGTTCCCAGAACTCCATTCCCGGGCCACATTTTGAATGCCCGGAGCCAACTGTAGGCCACTTCGTGCTCTTCGAGTTCCCAGAACTCCATTCCCGGGCCACATTTTGAATGCCCGTAGCCAACTGTAGGCAACTTCGTGCTCTTCGACTTCCCAGAACTCCCTTTCCTGGGCCACATTTTGAATGCTGAGGCAGGCTGATGCTGCGGTCGAGGCAGGCTGGGGCTGAGGCAGGCTGAGGCTGAGGCCGAGGCTGAAGGCAGACTGAGGCTGAGGCTGAAGCAGACTGAGGCCGAGGCTGAGGCAGGCTGAGGCTGAGGCTGAGGCAGGCTGATGCTGAGGCAGGCTGAGGCTGAGGCTGAGGCTGATGCAGGCTGAGGCTGAGGCAGGCTGAGGCTGAGGCCGAGGCTGAAGGCAGACTGAGGCTGAGGCTGAAGCAGGCTGAGGCTGAGGCTGAGGCAGGCTGAGGCTGAGGCAGGCTGAGGCTGAGGCTGAGGCAGGCTGAGGCTGAGGCTGTGACTGCGACTGCCGTTGCCGCTGCGACTGTCATCGCGAATGCGACTACGACTGCGAGAACAGCAGAATTCTACAACTGGATTTTCATCTGAATCTTAAGGGGAATGCTTTCAGATATGCTTCTACACATCGCTGTTAGGTTGCTTTGCCGGGATAATCTTTATTTTTCGTCGAACATCCCCCTGTAGGGGGACAGGCCCGACTTAGATTTCAGTCGGGCCTGTCCTTCTACAGGGGGAAAAGTCAAACATAGTCAACACAATAGTCTGTGGGAGGACATGCCCGACCTAAGGATAGATCCAGCTCGAGAGATCTCCCGCCTGAGCGGTACCAGCCTGAAGCATGTCCTTGTCCCCGTGGTCGGCATCTCCGTCTGTCGGCGGCGCCCTCAAAAGTTCCCTCCGTGTCCGAGGGGCCTGCCCCAGGGATTGTCATCTCGCCTGCGGGCTTGTCAATCTGTGAGGGGTTAAGCCCAAGGCCGGTTAGCCACGGGGTCGGGGATCTCCGGTCGTGCCTTCTTGTTCATACCCGACGGCGGTCGTCGGGGCTCGGCGGGCGGAAGGAAGCGCGGCATCGCGGTTGTGCGTGGGGCGCGCTTGTGGCGCTCTGTTCTGGCCCTCTTTGGGGTGTTTCTCCCTGGCCACGTGCGATACTCTCCGAGCGCGTTCCGCTTCTCGCAGGGTGCCTGCTCGCAAGCGTCAGGAGAAAAGCAAAACAAACACAACACACACAACGTGTTTATACCTCGGTGTGCTGGGTCGTGAAGTCCCGCGGCGGATCCGGGCCATCTGCGAGCAGTCACGCCGCGGACAGCGGAACGCGCTCGTCTAGGTGCGGATGGGCGGGATCTCCCGAGGCTCCACTGGGCACGCCGATGCAGCGTGCGCCCGCCGCGCGCCTCGCTTCGCCGCACAGGAGCCTTAGAGGGCGTTCTTGCCCGCGGGGTGCGCCTGGCCGTGGGGGTTGGCTGGGCTTGGGCTCGTGGAATTTTGCTGCTCGCGAGCGCAACTCGGAAGGGCCGCGCGCCGTCCAAAGCTACAGCTCACAAGCAGGAGCCTCAATTGCACACGAGAGAGAGAGAGGAAAAGAGGGACAGCACGAGAGCAGCGGGAGGCAGTAGCTCGTGGATGCGCTGTGCCGCCTTTGTCCCCTCGTGCTGGCGTAGGTGCTCCCGTCGCCCTGGGTCAACAGCCATGGGGGAAACGGGTCCTGAGGGACACGGGTCCTGAGGCTTCTCGCCACTTTCGGGCTCCGGGGGGACACAGGTCCTGAGGCTATTCGCTTTTTTCGGGCTCCCGGGGCCGTCCACGGGCCTGGGATCGTCAGAGAGCGGCTCGGGATGAAGAGTTCGCCCTGGGCGAAGGCTCCATGGGTCCTGGCCCCGTTTGCATCAGGACCCGCTCCCCCCATGCTGAGTCAAGCGTCAACCACGGAGGATGTCGGGTTCGTGCTGTTGTTCGTCCGCTGGCGCCCCCCCATTTCTCCGCTCGCCAGCTCCTGCGGAGAACGGGGAGGACGACCCCTCGGGCACAGTGTGGCCTCATCTCTCTCGCACTGGCTCCTCATCCGCATCAGGGGGGTTGCGCCTGGATGATCTAGCTTGTCTTAGCATGTCCCTCTACAGGATAATATCACAAGAAGTCAAAACATCGTATGGGGAAGATGTTCTATTATGTTATGTTTATTTTCGAATATGTTTTGCAAACTTTTATGTTTCTTACAAAATCCGCCTGCAGGAGGGCATGCCCGACTCAAAGCTAGTCGAGTCGCATGGTTGGAACGTTGTTCGCGTCTCGATGGCAGGACATCAGCCAAGATGTCCCGGTTCCAACCACCAGAGATTGCTAGCACGAATCTTACTGTGTATGCATGCCCCGCTGCTGCCCGCAAGCAAGGAGCAGTTCGTGAACGTGTACGGCAATCGGTTCCTTTTCTTGTGCCCGCCGAACGAGTACGACGTGCCAAAGTTTCTGCCGACTACGATCAGACCGACGCACCTTCCTTACAAGGTTGGCCCCTCCATGCTCAACAGTTCTCTTGCACATTCCGGTGCGCGTTCGTCGCTGTCGTCTTGCAGCAATCCTGTGTAATTGAGCGAGGCATGTGGTCATCGTTTCTAAGTTGTGGCATGCAGATAGGAGTTGACATGGTGACAGGTGCCAGACGTGTGCGTCAGGCGATTGTGCAACATGGGGGAAATGGTGGCAGGCTCGAGTGCATTAAGAAATGCATTCAAGCCTGCCACTCGAATGGTGGCGGAACAATAGGAATTGTATTCGAATGCGCTAAGAATCCCTTGGCTCTGGCATCTGCTCCGTCCTTATCTGGCTTGTACCGCAACTCGAATCCAACAAGGATATTCTGCATGTGTGATCTGTCCCATTCCTATTGGAATGTTGATCGAATCCTGCTCGGGTGCAATCGGACATTTCAGCAGCGGGGAGCGTCCAGCGTGACGGCACAAAACAAGTAGGTCCCTGTCGGGGTAGCAGATATGTAAGATATGTACATACATGTATGTGTGTGCCGAGATAGAGAGGGAAAGGAAGCGAGAGAGAGAGAGAGAGAGATTGAGATAGAGAGAGAGAGAGAGAGAAAAAAAAAATGCATAAGGAACCTAGGAAAGAGAACGAGAGAGAGAGGTAGCCATACATCGATGTATATTTTCAGACACAGGGCGCTGATCTTGTGCACTGGGCTGCATGAGAGTCCAGGGCGAGCATGGACGCTCTGGACTCCTTTCCCAGATATGACCTTGGGAGGCTCATGAGATCAGACAGGATTTAGCCTCCCGGATCTGCACGTAGAGAGACTTGCGATCGTGGGTGAAGATTTCTCTCCCTCCCCCTCAGGCAGCCCCTCCCAAGATCGAGGTCCAGGGCCAGAAAGCTCTGTCCGCCAGCCTCCGTTTTCCTGAGTATGCCCTCTGGACCGGCCCCTAGGTCCAGACGGCTTCAGCCCCCTCCAGGAGATGATATTGTATCAACTGAGCGGGAGTACGGTAGCCCCCGCGGGAACATACCCTACCCTTTGCGGCACCTTGTGCAATACTCCCTGCGGGAGCCGCAGTGCTCCCTTGCGTAGGTAAGACCATCCAGTACCATCTGTCGGAGACGATACCCCTCCTTGCCGGAAGCGCAATGGAGGCAGCACAAGAGCCCCAGTCATCTCCCGATTGCCCGTCTTGAGGTGCCCTTTATCGAGCTCTCACGCCTCCTCCGAGGCACGCTCGGGAGCGTTCTTCCAGCAGGAGGAGGAGGAGGAGGAGGAGGGGGATGAGGAAGAGGAGGCGGAGGAGGAGGAGGAGGAGGAGGAGGAGGAGGCGGAGGAGGAGGAGGAGGGGGAGGAGGAGGAGGAGGAGGAGGAGGAGGAGGAGGAGGAGGAGGAGGAGGAGAAGCGGGATAGGGGGGGGCAGGAGGGGCAGGGAGCGGAGGAGAGGGAGCCCTCGGCTGGGCCCTCGCCCCCGTCGCTGCCGCTGCCGCGGCAGGAGCTGTACGAGCACCAGTCCTGCGCGCAGTTCCTGGCGGAGCGCCCGCCCCGCCCTCCCGCGGGCGCCGCCCCGGGTCCTGCGCAGGGGGCCTCTCGCTTGGCATCGCTCGGACGTGTGCATATTTTTTTCCTCGGCGAGGACCCTTGAGGAGCATCCTTGACCATTTCGCGAAAAAAACGCGCACGGAACCTAAACAAAAACACAGGAAATGGACGTCCGAGCGATGGCCAGCTCGGCGGCCGGAGCCGGCTGTCCCCGGGGCTCTGGCGCAGGTGGCCGCGGCTGCCCCGAGGAGCAGCACGCAGCCAGAGGCGTCAGAAGCCGGGCATGCCCCCCTTCAGGAGGAGTGTTCGACGAGAGTCCAAGAGTCGTCTGGGGGGGCGGTACTCATGCCATGCTCGACTGCGCTTGAACTTTTATGGGCTAGTTGTCATGTTTCTTCCAAACTCTGCCTGTAGGGGGGCATGCACGGCCTAACCGTAGCCTGCCGACACGGAGCTCACAGCGTAGACCGAAAACGCAGCTTTGGCGCACCACGTTCGCCGCAGCGTGGAGCAACGCGTGCCGAGCCAAGCTTTTTGTTCGTCGGCGGCGAGGCATACACCCTAGGCGATGCTTAAGACAACTAAGTTTTCGGCCAGAGTCGATTACTCTTAATGTTTCAATGTAAATCCTATGATTTTGATAGAAGTTCTGGGCTTTTATTCAAGTTCTGAGACTCTGAATTTCTGAACCCATGATTTCGTAAGCAGCTCGCAGGGTGTAGGCGGTCCGCTCCAGCGTGTGGCAACTCGGGGCAAACGAATGGCTCATTGGCTGGCAGGCACGGGAGGGAAACGAGGACGCAGGCGGCCGCGCAGTGGGAGGGGAGGGAAGAGCCGTGCCGAGCCAGCACGCGCCACGCCAACACGGACGTTTTGGACACGGCACGCGTTGCCTTTCAGCACGGGCGCGTCAGGGCAGTTTCGAAGGCAGCCTTCGCGTGCTGCATGTGCGCCGCGCGCCCGTGCTTGCCTCGGTGTGCTCTGGCGCGGGGTGGGCGGGTTGACGCCGTCGGCGTGGAGTGAGCCAGGGCCTCTGGTTCCCGGCTCGTTTTTTGGGGGGGCGGGATCGCGATTGATGCTTACCCCCACTCTGGGGCTGGGGGGCCCGCGGACAGCACAGTGTTCCCAATGTGTATGTGTGTGTGAATGTGTGTGTGTGTGTGTCTGTGTTGGGGTGGACTGAGTTTGGGTGCCCCTTGGAGGGCGCCCCCCCGGAGGGCCGCAGGAAGGGAGCAGGGCTCCCGGAGGCTCCAGAAGGCCGCCCCAGGGCGATCCAGGATGGCTCCAAAAATTGCCGCGCGATGCCTCCAGGTCATGCTCTCTATTCGGAGGATGCCTTCCTGGATCCCTGCTACGGACAGCGATATTAATGCAGCGTGCCGCGACGCAGGTCCTAGCCTGCCACCTTACGTCGCGACGCGCTACTCCAGATTTCGTAATAAAGGGAAGGGGGTCTCATTTCGGGGGGGTCTCTTCCAGGCTATCTTGGAGGGCCTGGGGGGGTCTGGGGACGATGTTTTGGAGGGTTCTCCCACGGGGGAGGTCTGAAATGGCTTGTCTTGGAGGGTCCAGACCCCCTCCCTTTTATTACGAAATCTGGAGTACCCACTTTCCAAGTTCCAAGCGTCAACGTCGGCCCCCCGCCTCGCGGAGCGGAGCGACACGCCATCCGCCGCTGGCACGCCAGGTCGTGTCGCCCGGGGCCGCCGCCGCGAGGCGCTCGGCAAGGTTCCCGACCGTAGGTCTTTCGAGACTCCTCTGGGACGCGTGCACTAACAGTCCCCAGCCACTCTTGATCCCCCCCCCCGAGATTCCACACCGCCGATGTCAACGAGGAAGGAGGGCAGTGACACAGGCTCTGAGCGCGCTCCTTCACTCGCAGAGTGGCTGCTCGCAAACATGCTTGTCTCGATGTAATGGATCGCATCTTTACCGCGGCGGACCCAGATTATTCACGAGTAGTTACCGGTTGGTTCGTGGAGCGCGCCTGTCTATAGAAGGACACGCAGGGCCTCCACGACGAGGGAAGCCCGCGCGTCATGCACAGCGCGCTTGGGCACAGTTCTGCAACTCATTCGTGCAAGCGCGTTTAACGAGACAGAGAGAGAGAGAGAGAGAGAGAAAAAAAAAAAAAAAAAATGAGAGAGAGAGAGCCTAGATGTAGCAGATCAACCGTATAAGTTGGCCAGCCTTAGTGGGCGGCGGCGGCGAATTTGATTGGGGATGGCCGGCTGAGCCGGGAGGATTTCTTCAGCTACGACGAGTTGAGCCCGCCGGACCGCTACCCCAGCAAGATTCCGGCGCCCGCGTCGGTGTTGAAGTGGCAGGCTTGACCGCCATCCCCACACGCTTAGTTACTGGAAGGGTTTGGATGTGAGCTCTCAGCTTGCCTTAAACCTCATGGTTTTACTCCGAGTCCTCAGTCGGCAACCGTTGAAAGCATGGCACTAATCGGGAGGGCTTGAGTGATATCGGGGCCAGATCAAATTACATGCGCCTGGAAAGGTCCGCTGTCAGCCGTGTTGCCTTCGCCACCGCCCTCAAGGCTGGTGAGGATTCGGAGGGAGGATGTGTCCAATGGTGGGCTGGGCGTGCCATATCCTCCCTTTGGGTTATTTTTGTTTGGGCGGATGGGGGAGCATCCACCCCCTGAAATGGGCACGCGCATGTCCATGCTCGGTGGCGTCGCTCTTACCAACCGTCAACACCGATGCATCGCCCTCGTCTGGTCTGATGGGGCCACCCTGATCATTTGCCTCTGTTGCGAAGCTTACCCGCAAAACGCAGGAGCTATAGTAGCTCGTAGTGCGCCTAGCCGTCGCCGGTTGCCTCGAGGAGCTCTCGGAGACCACGGGCTGATGTTCCTCGTATCCGTCATCGTCATGATTTTCTCTTCCTCGTCACCCCGAACCACTCCCTCCATCCTTCCTCAATGTTCCCTCAAGGGTGGAAAACTTGGGCATGGGTGGTTTTTGCCCGCCGGGCAGGGCGGGATACAAATGCGTCCCTGTTGGCTTTGGAACTCGGAGCTCAATCCTTGCGGCCCCCCAAGAAAGGAGGGCCCCAGAAGGCGCTGCCGGGCACGACGCCTCCCCCTGCCACGTCGATCCGATACGCTCCGTGTTCCCCTGCTCACCAGACGTGGCTGGATGTTGCTGGAGACCCGACATTGTGGAAGAATTGGGCGACAGATTACGTTGTTCTGGGCCTCCTGGATGGGGTCGGAGTGGATGGGGTCGGAGGATGGCGCCGCATCGCTGGTGCATCATCGGCGATGCGGCTCGATGTGGAGCCCGAGCTTCTCCACGCCAACGTCGCCAGTGCATCACCGACACTGCCAGTGCATCGCCGATGCATCGCCGATGCATCGGCGGTGCGGCGCGATCTCCCGACCACATCTACTACGACCTCATCTAGGAGGCCTCTAGTTGCACACACGGTCATCCGACCGGGCCCCGGCCCGCCCGCGCCGCTCCTAAGGGGCCGTCTGTCGGGCGGCACGCGCGGCTCGTCTCGTCCCCGCCCCTTCTCCTCCTCGTCCGCCCTCCGGGCCCCTGCCCCTCCAGAGCTTGTGTGAAGTTCAGTCGCGTCCGGAGGCCGGCGACTGCTTCGACATCTCCGTGGCGATGGTCTCTTTGCTCGTCGGCGTGGGCTACGACGCGTACTGCGTCAGCGGCTTCGCCCCGAGGTTCATCACGACGCGGAACGAGGCCGCGGGGTGGCGGAGAGGCAGGGGCAGTCGAAGGCGAGACTCCACAACGCCCTCGTGGTCTTGCTCGTCCTCTTCCTGCGTTTCCTCCACCTTCGTTTGCCATTGTCTTCTGCTTGCTTCTTGCGTCTTCCCTCTCTCTCTCTCTCTGTCTGTATGGTCTGGAATTTCCATGTGCACGTGTGAACAAGGACATGTGAAGAGGGGGGTGTTTTTATTATCGCCCGCACGCGGTTATTTGCTCCCGTGTTTTTTTTGTTGTTTCTTACCTACGTTTGATCATGCGCCCCTGCGTCCTTATTAATACACGTGCATCGCTGCCTACAGTGAAACCGCACAGTAGGGATGAGCCACTTTCCAAGGTTGCCTCTGCATCCTCCCCCTTCGGCCCACTCTTAGCTGCTGCTGCTGCTGGCCGCGCCCCGCTTGCGCAAAGTGTCGGCATGGCCTCCCGAGGCCCCGCCTGCAAAAGCATCGCGCGCCCCTGCCATCCGGGTTGCCTGTGAGCTTGAGCCGGGCGGTGATGCCGGGTGGGGAGGGCGCCCCCGGCCACCATCGGGCGCCCCGCCTGCAAAGTGTCGGCAGGGCCTCCCAGGGCCCTGCCTGCAAAGGCACCGCGCGCCCCTGCAATTCGGGTTGCTTGTAAGCTTGAGCTGGGAGGAGGAGGAGGAGGAGGAGGAGGAGGAGGACGAGGAGGAGGACGAGGACGAGGAGGAGGAGGACGAGGAGGAGGACGAGGAGGAGGAGGAGGAGGAGGAGGGGAGGAGGAGGAGGAGGAGAGAACGAGGAGGAGCAGAAGGAGGAGGAGAGAGGAGGTCCTCGAGACGATCTGGCCGAGCGGGGGGGCCTCGCGCCCGAGGCCCGCGCGAGCCCCGGCGGGTGCCCGCGGGGGGCGCGGCGCGGTGCTGCCGGGTGGGAGGGCGCCCTCGGCCTCGGCCACCACTTTGGGCGGGCAGTCGCCGCCCCTCCTCCTCCTCCTCCTCCTCCTCCTCCTCCTCCTCCTCCTCCTCCTCCTCCTCCTCCTCCTCCTCTTCTCCTTGCTCCTTCTGTCCTGGCCGTTCCGATTCAGTCTCTTGGCAGGGCGCGGGTGCGAGGAGGGGCGCGTCGGCGGCAGGCCCAGTGAGGGCACGACGCGCCGCGCCCCATCCCAAAGGGGAACACGCTTGATGGGGAGCCGACCGAGCTTTGAAGTCACGATGCGTAAATGAGCCCATAGGCTTCCGCCGCACCGCCGACCCCTATGGGCCGCTCGTCGTGCCCCTCGGGTTCTCCCCAATGTCTTTCTCGTGGCATTCGACCGAATCGGCCGCCCCACCCGGGTCGTGGACAGCGGGCCTCTTTGGAAATTGTGCTGGGTTCCCCTGTGAAGCCTCTCGGGGGCTTCCTGGCGGCACTTCTGGAACTTCTTGAGGCCTTTCGGGGGCTTCTTCGAACCGCCATGGGGGCCTTTGGGCGCCTCGCAGGGGCATGCCGACGCAGCGCGGGCCAGGTCCGCCGGAGAACAGCCCCCGCCGCGTTTCTCTTGCCTCCCTGTCGCCAATTGGCTCGCTCATGCCGCCTCGGCTCTGAACATGGTTCAAGCGACAGCAATCCGCATGAAGCACAGCGGACGAGCCGCTTCGGCCCCCCGCGCGCCCCGGGGGATCTCGCGGCGCGGCGCCGCGCGAGGCGATCTATGGGGCTTTCGTTGACCAGTCCTCGCCCGCGCGCTGGCAACATACACCACGGCGCACGGGGCACGCGCATGGTTTGGCCCGCGCCGTTCGGCGGCCCGGGTACAACTGGACACTGTTGGACACTATGCGACACGAACCACAACGAAACGGATTTGGCGACGACGTCCCCAAGTCTCCACGACTGCGGCCAACGATGCGAGGTCGCTTTTCCTGCTCCTGCTGCTCCTCCTGCTCCTGCTGCTCCTGCTCCTCCTCGTTTTCTTCCTCCTCCTCCTCCTCCTCCTCCTCCTCCTCCTCCTCCCCCTCCTCCTCCCCCTCCTCCTCCTCCTCCTCCTCCTCCTCCTCCTCCCCCTCCTCCTCCCCCTCCTCTCGCGGGGCCCCCGCCCCGCCCTGGGAGGCGCGCAGCGCCTGCCCGCACCTGGAGTTCGAGGTGGAGGAGGCGGAGGAGGAGCAGCAGGACGACGGCCCGCCGCCGCCGACGGCGGCCGTGCGGCGGCGGGTCGGTCGGTCGGATGCTGCTGGTCGGAGGCTGTGCACCCCACGCCCAGGCCCCCCTTGGAGTCTGTTTTTTTTGGATTCAGGCGCCGCCGGGGGCGCCCAGCGCCGATCCGAGAAATCCGCGCGGACCTCCGAGTTTGTATGTTTATGCCCCTTCCTGTTCCCCTGAATCTCGCTTTGATGGCAAGCCTCTGCTCTTGTTGGCCGCCGCCGCAGGCAACGCCCCCTGCTCGTCTCCGCCGCCTGCTGCCGGCCTTCCGCCGGGGAAGCGAGGGCAGGAGCCTGTTTTTTGGATTCAGGCAAGTTTACTTGCGTGGCGTTCGCCCCCCCCCCCCCCCCCCCCTCGCCCCTCTTCAAGAAGCGAATACTCGCGTGCAGGTGCCTTTCGACTTGCGTGATTTCCGCGCCCCCCCCCCGAACGTGCAAGTCGTTTGCGGCTTGCTTCGAGCTCAGCCCCCCCCACCCCCCCCGTCCATGCAAGTAAACATGCCAGAGTCTAACAAAAACAGGCTCTTGCGCTGCGACAAAATCACGACGAGGGGGGGGGGTCGCTATTTTCGGCCTCCGGTGGTCCTCGCCGGGCCTCGGGACCGTCAAGAAACGACTCAGGATGAAAACCCGGTCCCAGGGCAGGGGTCGAAATCTCTGGAGGTCGACGTTGTGACGTTGTGAAACAATCACGACGTCGGGGGTCTGGGTACGGAGTGAGCCCATACGGAGTGGAGAGTGGTCTTGTTGCCCCCCTGGCCACAACGCGCGGCATGCCCCCGGGGCCGCGACCCTGCGGTTGCGGGGCGGTTTTTCGCGGATGCCCCACGCGGGACGTATCCATGCGACCGTGTATCCGCGGGATCGGGCCCCGGAATCCAGACCGCGCGAGGGTGTGGCTGTGGATACGCTCGCCGCTCGTGAGGAGCGCCGGGCACCCGACTGCCCCCTACAGTGGCGAAGCGTCCTGGCTTTTCTATAGCTTGGCATCGCTCGAACGTGAGCATTTTTTCGCGGCGAGGACCATCGAGGAGCATTTTGCTTTCATCGGGAAAAAACACGCACGAAACCGAAAAATGCACAGGGATTGGGCGTCCGAGCGATGGCGAGATAGGCCCACCAAAAATAGTGTTAAGAAGCTTTATTTCGTGGTCTGCACGAGGTGTCTCAGAACGCTTCTGGCCGAGGCTGTCTTGCTTTCACACCTCGGGCTTCTGTTCTGAGAACATTGCTGTTGTTCTTAGGACGTCCCTGGGCTCTAAGAGCACGTCGTGGGAGGCCTACGGGATTGCTGGGGCGGTCGGCCCCTGCTCAGTGCCGTGCGAGGCGCCGGCCCCACCAGCATGCCACGACGACGGCGCAGCCGAGGGCGCATGCCGCGCTGGTCGCGAGAGGGAGCCGCCTTGCCACCCTCTCGCACGTGCTGCGCCAGGCGTTGTTGCGAGCAGCTTCCGCGGGGCATTGGGCGAGAGCGTGATCGCTGCGTGATGCCCGACCCGGAACCAGGCCTCCAGCGGCGAGCCCCAGGGGGGAAGGGAGAAGGAAGGGCGCCCTCTCGGAAGGCGCGGAAGTCCCCCGACCTTCCGAGAAGCTTACTCAGCCTTCCCAGGAGACACAGACAACTCCTCAGAAGGCGCGAGGGATTCTGAGAAGTCCCGCCACCTTCCGAGAAGGCACTCTCCTTCTCACTTCCCCCCCTCGCTCGCCGCCGACACTCGCTGCCACAGAGACGGCAGCCCCCGTGCACCCGCAGGACGACGAGGAGGAGTTCACGATCCCCAAGCGGCCCCTGCTGAAGTCGGAGGTCCAGGAGCAACACGCTCTGGCCAAAGAGGCGGGCACCCTCGGGCGGCAGGGATATGTTCGGTAGCAAATCGCGGAAAGAGCGTGTTCTACCGATGCTGGCGGAAAACAGGGGAAGGGGGCACTGGGGGTTCCCAACCCGTCCCCCCCCCCCTCCCCCCGAAAACCGGGGGGGGGGGTTCGGCAAAGGGGGGGGGGGGATTTTGGGGGGGGGCGAGACCCCCAGGTTCCGGAGGAAGACGGGGGGGGGATTTTCTACAGTAAAGCGGCGGTGGATCACGCTCTCTCAAATCGCGGAAGCCTGGTATACCCTCTGAATTCCGTCTTTGGCGTCGGCTGGCGTCGATTAGCGTTCGGGATCTCGACGAGGCAGCGCGTCGGCCAGCGTCGATGAGCGTCGATGTAGCGTCGATGTAGCGTCGATGTAGCGTCGATTGGCGTCGAATCGCAAGAGCCGACAAGATGGTATGGGAGGCTCTCATGGTCAAGCAATGGCGAAGCATCTCGGCTCGCTTATAGTCCCACCAAACAATGTTCTAAGAACTGTTTGTGGTGTCCACGAAATGTTCTTAGAACATGTCTGGCGGAGTCTGTCTTGTTTTAACACATCAGGTTTAAGTTCTACGAGCATTTTTTGTTCTTAGAACATTTTGTGGTTCTAGGAACATATCGTGGTAGGACTAGGGATGCCAGGACGGTCGGTCCCTGCTCAACATGAGTTGCCACCGAAGACATGCCGTTCTCACTTTGTAGCCGCACGCGTCTATGGACTCATTCGAGGTGGATGCAGCCAAGACGCCGACACGAGGGCCACTCTGGGCTCAATCCGAGCTCTGCTTTCCGGGCCGCTCCGCAAATCCAGGTAGAACGTATGCGTGTCCGAGGCGTACCGTGGCGACGAGCGGAAGGGGATGCCATCCGTCGAAGGAGGAAACAACGTAAGTCTGAACATTCCCAGTTCCGCGCGGATGTCTTGGACCTGCGTTGGTCCCTCCTGGCGGCGCCTGCGGCGCAGGTCCGCTCGCATTTCCGAAAGATTTTGCGGCCCCTCGCATTTATGTATACACTTGTATATAACAGTGAGGGGGCGGCGGGGTCGTCGGCAGTCTGCGAGGCTCTGAAGAAGCCCGCCGCAGGCGCCCATTTTTTCCGTCAAAGCAACGTGAGTGTGTCGCGGGTGTGTCGCGGGTGGGTTGTGTGGTGGGTCGCGGATGGGTCGCGGGGTGGGTCGCATGGGGCGTCGTGGGTGAGTCGCAGGTGGGTCGCGGGCGAGGGCGACGGCAGCAACAACAACAAGAACAACACTCATTTTAATAGTGTTCTCTCCTATCTGCTCGCG